CCGCGCTTGAATTTACGCAAATGTGTGGCCCTTTAAAAATGCGTATATACGCGATCTAAACGGTCGTATATATGAGCTTAAAGCCCATATGTAACGTATGTAAACAAGTATACGCGGCAGGAAAACCCGCGTATACCCTGTCGTAATTTTGAAAGGAGTGGCCAACCATAGCAATGTTTGTTTTCAAAGCTTCACTTGTTCGTTTCACTTAATTAAATTAATGCGAGCCCGGTTCGCTCGTTTGTTCAAAACTTTCTCTTCTCGAGAATTTCCGTAATACCGAAAAACGTTTTGCTGCTGGACTTACTAGGTTAAAAGGTTTTGCATGGGCCGATTTATTTTCGCCGGGGGTATTATGGTCTACTATCGGAAAGAATTTTTTTTTCAAAATGTCAGTGTGGAAAAAAATGCAATTTGCACATAGGAATACTGCATGTTGAGGTAATTTTCAAAACTAATGTGAAACACAGTACAAGTTTTACATCTGAGCAACATGTGAACGTGGAAATGTGGAGAGTTCACATGACGTAGAACTAGGCCTTTACACAAATATCACGTAGAATCGCAAAGCTAAAGGTAAACTCGCGGTCTGATTGGCTATCGAAGAGAGGGTATTTAGCGTGGAATTGCACTTGTGCATGAAGCGATATTGCCGACGTGAGTCGCGAGCAAAACTTGTTGCTATCGTGAAACCAAAAATGTAACTCGTGCTACGAAAATATCACCTTGGAAATGAACAAATCTACAGAAAATATATGTCTGCCAAATTTTGAATTGAAATTTAAATTTTTATAAAATTTGAGGAAACCACTCACACTCAAAAGTACGAGAAAACGCATTGAAGGAAAAACCAAAATGGCAGAGACGAGGGAAGAAAGCCAAACAACAGTTCTTGCCGAGGAAAACCAAACAAATTCTACCTGAGTCCAGTTGACAGCCCAAAATCCAATGTCTGGTACAAGATGGTTTCACTGGCAAAACAAATGCAGAGTATTGCGTCCACTGTCTCCCTGGACGGCAAATTTACAAATTCGAGTGGTCGCGAAACAGTCACCCAAGCGCTCCGTGATGATTTCGACCCACTGGAAATCTCAGAGGTTACTGGCTTCGCCAATCCGGAGCCCATATCCAGCTACAGCCATAATCCTCTGGAAAAACATCGGCAAATGTCGAATAAGTTGGCCGGTTTCAACCCAAGCACGACAACTACCAACAGCGATTCAGGACATGCTTTAAGGGAGATTGTTCTCAACAGCTCAGCCCCGCCAAGCAACACAGCAGCTACTAGTAAACGTGGCACTGTGTTCTAGTTACCTGATGGCAGGGGCAGTTGGCGGGATGTTTACTAGAGTAACTTTTAATAATTCTACAGTAAATATTTCCATGAACTTTCAGTCCAACATGACACCAAAAAGCGACTCGCTGCAATAAAAGAAAAACAGTTAAAATAGTGAAGATTTTTTGAGCTATTTTTCGTAGAATTTACCGAGAAATTTCAGTCTTAATCATTTTGTTTTGAATACAATTTTTGTTATAACTGTAAAGCACTTACCGGTTTTTTGTAGATCTTGTTTTAATACCAGAACGCTTAAAATTGTCCCTTCGCGTAAGCATTTCAGTTGCTGATTGTCGGCGCCACATTTTGCCAAGTTGTATGGTAGAAGGCAAATCCGAAATATTCATTGAATGAAAGAACTTTCCATAAACTCTTTGTCTTAAATAACTCCGTGTTTTGTACGTTCAGTTTTTTTGCTGAAGATTGTAAAATGTGAGGCACTTCTTTCTCCACAAGGTTGAAATGAAAGTGGTTTTCATTCTAAAAATATCTTGTTTCCTATTCGCTAGATCTTGACACCTGACTTTTAAAGGGTTTCCATTGTCTACGCACTGGTGCGACTCACAAAATACAAAACGTATGGTTTCGCCCAGTGATTTGGTGGCTTTAGCTATGCGATTCAAGAAAAATTCACTGCCTGACGAGTGAATTCCACGTTAAATTTCACTTGAAAAACCGATATCGCACTCATCGCTTCGCGATTCGCGTGATATCGGTTTTTCGCGTGAAATTTAACATGGAATTCACTCGTCAGGAGGTGATTTTTCTATAAAATTGCCTAAACATCTTTCCGGAAATTCTCAAAAAAATGTCTAAATGTCCCCAAAAAATTGCTAAATATCTCGAAAAATCCTCTAAATATCTCGGAATAACTCGTATTTTTGTTTTAAAAATGAGCCGATTTTGAATCCCTTAGGCCAAAATTTTCCCCAGCGGCAACTGAAAAGTATGTCAGAGATTGTCTACACTAGTGTTACGGAAATAAAGCAACTTTCAAAACAACATGGATGCAAAGTTTAATGTTTTCTCACTAATGGGTTAAACAGTTGGTATGTCTATCATGTGTATTATGAATATGACTATGACAGAGTAACAATCCTCACTCACGCTTTTCTATCAGTACAAATATCCGCTCTACTTTAAGGGAATAAAACGTAGCCTGAAGAAACCTCTGAGACTGAAAACTTAACAAAAGGCGGAAACATCCTATACCGACTTTGAACTATGTGACCGTAAATTGGCGTGAAAAAATAATACTCTCGTAACTCCAAAGGTGGCAAAGTTTCTATGTTTAGACGAATGTCAACAATGGTCATACAGCAGTCGTTAAACTGATACAATTATGCAAACCAATTATACAAACCAATCATACCATACAAGGCACTAGCGATCGTTAACTCGAAGCATAAGAGCGGCCTCTACATAGTCCTCCAAGGTATCATACTGCTGGTCTCCAAACATGGTCACGAGTAGTGAAAAGACCCTCTCCGCTGCTGCAGATGATGGCTGTACCAGAACCACTTTCAGTACTGCGGAAGACCATGATGGGAGGTTAGGGGAGACGTCTTCCCACCATCGCATGGATTCAGAAAGGATATCAAAAGCATCATTAATCTCAGCAGCTTTGACAAGTTAAGTGGGGAGCTCATCTTTTAGTTACTGGATTACATCACTGGTGTTCAAAAACGGCACATCTCTGATCCTTTCGACCTCGGCAGCTGTGGTTCGAGATACCTTGACTGCTCGTGGACTGAAAAGCTGTGCAGCATGGAACACTTTCATAGTGCGGGAGACTAACAAGTCATTCGCCAAAGTGTTTAGAAAATACTGAAAGGCAGGCGTCACACACTCCCTTAGGCCATACTGGTACCATCTTTGCGGTCGCAAATGTTCAGAGGAAACAGTTCTTGAACCACACCTAGGATAACTGGGAAACTGTGCACGTCAATAAGAGCTCGGGGCTCTTCAAGCTTCTGAAAGGCGATAAAATTAATATCAAGTGACCATCCCCCTCTAGAGTGGAGGTTGCCTTTACAAACTTCTCCAGTTCCATGACCGATGCTAGCTCAACTCTCAACTGTATGGCATTCTGCATCAAAATCTGGGAAAGTCGTTGCCTTGATGTTTCAGCAAACTCTTCGTTGCTCTCTAAAAATGTAATGATATGCTTCCACTCCTCAAACACAACTCAGTATAGCACACTCCCAGTAGCTCCACCATCTTGTCGCATTGTACCGTGGCATGGCTTTCCCGGATACCTCTTTCTATACTCTTCTTCCCTTCATACTTGTAGTAAATATGAGATTTCACGTCATCATGAACTGCTTAAGAACCGGAATGTTGCATTTGGTTCCCACGCGGTCTAGAAAGTGGGAGATGCACCCAACATCAAGTATTTCTGGATACAACACAGACACCGTTTGTAACGCCTTGGTGTTGACTGGCGCTCTGTCCCTCGTTGCTGCTAAGACGCAGCCTTGAGGAACATTCAGCTTTCGATGGAGTACCTCAGTTATAATGCGAGCTAACTTCTCGTCGTTAACTGAACTTTTCACACGTTGAAACCTCACAAGCCTAATTTTCACCTCCCAGTCTTGCACAAAACGAGCTAGAACAGCTAGGGCTTCACCATCTCGAGTTGTTCCATCAAATATGATAGGAAGTTCCTTACCCAGTATTTCCTTGGATATTGATTTATATTCCTCTTCCAATACAAAAGGAACTAATTGGCTCATGTGTGCAGAAGATGTCAAAGGGAAGCCTGCTTCTTCAAACAGATCCCTGAAATATTTCATCCTATTTAATGGTGTTCCGCTCTTACGAAATGCTTGCACAACTTTTACTCTAAAAACTCTTGCGCTAGTGGGAAGTGTCTCACCTATAGAGTGGTGTGCCTCATCATACTTAGCTATGGCATCAGCAATATGCCTTTCCTTCTATGTAGTTTGTTCCATCTTCTCGTTGTTGGCTTTGTGCTTCTTGCTTGACACGTGCACGGTTATGTTCTGTTTCTTCAGGGATAACTCTTCCCGGCAAGATTGGCAGAACAATGCACCATTCCTGCTGACAATAAAAGACTCTTCTTTAAACTCTTGCATTCTTTGACTTGCAGAAACTTTCACAGGCTCATTTACCTTTCTTGACACACTGGTCTGCGATCGACGATTTCCAGGCCATACGCCTGTTGACGGAGTTGACCAAAAGCTTTCTTTTTCTTGACAACACACTTGCAGCTGGCAATCTCAGCCGGTCCAGCAGGGAAAATGCTTCTCTTTCTCTACGTGTTTCAGGCATTGAAGGATTTGCAATACTAGAAGGAGTAGACTCAGAGCCTGAAGAAGGTTCAGGCTCATTGTTTCCAGCATCCGCCATTTTGACAAAGATGTGCTAGTGATATAGTTTACATTATTGAAGTGGGAAACCGCTGAACTGAATTATTTCTAGCATAGAAGGATAGAACTGAGTGTTCTGTCGAGAAAATCGCGAGGAAAGCTGGGAAAGAGCCAAAAAAAGCTATAAATTTTTCCAAATATCTCCAAATTTTCTAAATATCTTAAAATTTTCTAAATATCTCGGAAACTTCTAAATATCTCAAAAAATATCCGGATATTTGTGTAAAGGCCTAGGTTAAGTTTTGTGAAAACGTTGGTAAAATTTGGAATTATTTACACAACAGACCCACTTCTACAAAATGTGACTAAAATCGTTTGCCTCTGTTGACTCACCGTCGATATTTTTCACTATAAACCCCTGTAGACCATGCTGAATTACTGCGACAATTTTTCAAAATCAGGGTAGTTTTCCTGTTTCCACACGCTTTATCTCTGAAACGAAGTCAGTGACCCAAATTTTTTGCATTTCTGACACAAGTAACTCTATATCTGACTGCAGCAAAATTTTAAAAAAAATATCTATCGACTGGAAAATTTTCGCGCGAACGTCCTTAAGTGAAGCAAACAAGCATGAGATGAAGCTTTGAAAACAAAGATTGGGTTACCACATCGTGGGAAATGAAAGTATCTCAAACTTAGGGAATAGCTTTTACAGAGAGGCTGAGCGTTTTTTTCACCTCAGATAAAGAACAATTATTTGCCCTACAAAAGATATTTAAAGAAAGCAGGTCAATGCGGTAATCGGTCAACTTCAATAATTTGGATATCGATGAGGAAAATCTTATTTATAATCCACAATTTGACCTGTACTCATTCACTCACTCACTGCCCGTCATGCCCACCGACAAACAGGGCAGCACCAAACGACCTCCAGAGCTGACTGTGCCCGGCCAGCTTTTGGATGGAGCTCCAGCGGAGGCCCAAGCCCCTTATCTCTGTCTCGACAGTGCGTCGCCATGTATTTTTGGGTCTGCCCCGCTTGTGCCATTTTATTTCCATGTGTTTATTGTTCATGTATATTGGTTATAGGTACGACCGCCGTTATCGTTGTTTACCATCAAAATGGCGAATATTTGGCAAAGTCGTGGACCTCTGTATGGCGTGCAGTGGAGAGTGCCCACAAATTTTTTTCTGTTTAAGAAATAGAAAACATGTACCGTGTTTCTATCAAGTTATAGAAATACGAGTGGAAGTTTGGGAGAAGGAGAAATGCTGTGGGAACACGAGCCGCAGGCGAATGTTTCCACAGCTTTTTCGAGTTCTCCCAAACTTTCACGAGTGTTTCTATAACTCGATAGAAACACAGAGAACATGTTTTCTATTTCTTTCAGAAAACACCACAACGAAAAAAAGAAGAACAGCTTGTTTACTTTCATCATCAAAGTGTAAATTCTCTTTGCTCTTGCCATCAGTACGTCATCAGCTCGTGCTAGTTCTGTGTTTCCATCGAGTTATAGAAACACGATTTTTAACCAATCAGCGCGCGTATTTTCTTAGGGCTGTTTTCTAAACGTTTTTACATTGATGTTAGTACTTTTGAGTTGTCATAGACTCGATCCCAGATCAGGTACCACATTTGAGAAAACAGCTTTTAACTATAGTTATGTCATGCCTCGTACATTCCAGAGTTTGGCAGGAGGTATTTAAGAAAATTAAAGACTCCGTCAAACTTTGGCAGAATATAATTTTTAAACATTTAAAATATCGAGAAAAGGTGAAGCTTTAATTTGCATGTAGAACATTCAGCTTGTTGAATTAAAAAACTGTGCTTTGGCAGCGTTCGACATTTATAGCTAAATTTCAGTCTCCAAGGCAAATGAGCCTGTTTCGAGGTCACCTTGAAAACCGTCTCGCAAAAAAATGAAAAAATCGAATTGATTCAAATAAATTTTCTATTACATTAGATATGATGGTTCACTTTAACTGAAAAAATGAGCCCAATCGGTGAAGTTCCGTAATTTGCCTTTCCCGTTCTTACGCAGACAGCCACTTAATAGTTTATGGTCTATTTGCAATATTTGTTTATTTAGTATCCCCAATTAGCACAACAGTGCTAAATACATTTGACACTTAGTAATAAAGTTATTTTATTTATTTATTTATTTATTTATTTAGTATTATTCGAGCGATCTGCAATAATAGCCCAAATTTTAATGGATCATAGTTCCTTTTTTCCAAGCGAAATCAAGGACTCTCGTGTCAAACGTAGCAAAGTGGCTAGTTTTAAACCATGCCGACTACTTCGTCAGCATTTCAATGATTTACAAAATAGAACAAGACAATCTCAGGCCTGGTTCAAACGTTTGGCTAACGTCGTGTAATTTTACTGAATTTTAGCAAGACAGTTGATTGAAATGTCGAACTTTACTCGAGTCGAAATCATTCGTAATTCACTTCGAATTCATTCGCATTTTGCTTATTCTGTCGAGGTTAATTTAGTGGTATTTGCATCTCGCTTCAATTCTCTTTGAGAAGCACTGCATTCTGATGGTTGAATAATACAAATAAGCAGGTCATTCCTTAACCTGTGTACAGCCGCTCCCTCCCCTCAAAAAAAAAAATCGGGGGGAGAGAGGGCGAGAGGGGTGGGGGCGGCTGTGTACAGGCTAGTCCGTACATATGCGTTGAGTTTGGCGCTAGTGTAGTTCGGCGTTGGAATCGACGTCTCGCCAAAGTCGGATACCGCGACAGAGCTTGTCGTGATTCCCGATTCTTACTCGACGTTGACTCAGAAATCGAGCTACAATCGTTCTTAAGCCGACTTTAATTCATCATTTAAGTTCGACACGGCCATAACACGACGTTTCAACCAGGCCTGAATATAATGTAATGTAAAGCACTGGCAAGTAGTAGTCATACAGGTCTACACCTGTAGTGACTCCCAAATTTTACTGGAAAATTTCAGCAAGGTAGGGCAACTCTAACTTGAAAAATGGCCTTGCTATATTTTTTTAAAAAATTGTTCCTATCAGTAATTTTTCTCAGACTAGAAAACTCACAAGCTTTTTCTTACTGTCATCTCCAGATACTGACGAATGTCAAACTGGAAAACACTCCTGCGAACATAACTGTCAAAATACTGATGGAAGCTACCGCTGTAGCTGTAAAGCAGGCTACCAACTGTCTCTAAACGGGAGATCGTGTGAAGGTACATACTAAATTAACCTTTCAGCACGATTGGTAAAATCACACTACGCAAAAACACAAGTATTCAGGCCCGAATACCGATCGGCGCACAACGCAAATACCAAATTATTCTGAGATATCCAAGGAAGTCTGACTCAAAATACACCTCCAATATTTTATAAGATTTTAGCCTGTTTTTACGAATTCGATTGAGTACTTGACATGCAAATCCTTGATTGTCTTCAATACGTCAGATTTACATCACGTATTACGTGCACCTTGCCAGAATACTCTAGGATTCCGATTTAGATTTTGAAAAATTCACGCGTGCATAAACATCCCGGAATACTTTTAAAGGTGATTACTCGGAAGTAAAAGTTGCTGCACGATTCATTTGAAACTTTCCCAGAATGTTCCCTACCAGGCGTTGTTTCAAAAAAAATAATAGTAAAGATAGGCCACCATGCTCGTAAAAGAGATTTGACGGGGCAAACTTAGTTCCGTTTATGCCTAATCACGCGCGTTCTTTCATCGGTTCACGTTACGTTTTGCGGTAGCTGGAAGCAAAGTTTATTGAAGTAATATTTGAAAAAACATCTTGATAGGTAGAAAGCTTCGCGCATATGGGACAGTGTAATATATGATTTATAGAAAAAAATTACACAATTTTAGATGACATTGACTCAAAACTTTTCTGGAATCTTTGTTTTCTAGGTCTTAAATTACATCCTCGATGACGGTTTTGTGCACGCTTTTAGCTATATCTTCTTTTTTCCTTCCGAACAATTTTTTCTTTTAAAAATAGAAGAACCGTAGCCAGGGCAAAACATATTAAAAATTTATAAAAAACGTTCACTGGCTATATAAAGTTAAAACTTTCGGCTGTCAGACTACCCCCAAAATGTCATCTCCAACATTCTAAAGAAGAAATCTTCTATTCGGCGCACAAACTCTATCCCAACACCTGAGGAACTTGTTTTTATGTTTTTCAAATGGGCCACACCCTCCGATTACCCTAGTTATGCAGTCCTCCCCTACATTAATGGAATTTTTCAGCCTCTAAATAGACTTCTTCAAAAACATGATATTCGAGTTGTCAGCAAGCCAGTCAAGACATTACAACAGGAGTTTCCTTCTCCTAAATCTCGACCTCCGATTGAACTTCAACCAAATGTGGTTTATAAAATATCTTGTGCCGACTGCCCATGGAGGTATGTAGGCGAGACTGGCAGATGCTTTGTAACGAGAAAAAAAGAACACATGAGGAGTGTTCTGTCTTACGCAGGAGGTTCTAACATCGCTAAACACGCTTGGTCTTCAAATCACTCTATTGACTTTAAAAATTCCTAAGTGATTGACAAGGGTTCTCCACGTATTCGTAAGACGCTAGAATCGTGGCACACCGCTTCGATAGATCATGCAGATAACAATTCAAGGCCGCTCCCCAATCAATACTCCATTCTTTTAAAAAAGAAGAATTAGTTTATTAACACTTACCGGTATATTTTTCCATTTTAAGAGTCCCTGTCCATAAAAAAGGAAAATAACTCGGCAAGGGTCGAAAATTCGATTTCGCTCATATTTTCATGGTAGATAGGCTAGGGCATGACAAAAACTACTGGATAGTTTTTTTGGCA